CACAAATGAGGCCTACGATAAATGGGCAAAGATTTACGACAGCGATGGCAACTTCCTACAGGCCCTCGACGATATAGAACTCAAGACTCTCTTCCCGCGATTCGTGGCGTCTATCACGAAGCCCAAGCCCTGGCGGGTCGTGGACTTAGGCTGCGGCACCGGCCGCAACACGGCGCTTCTCCTCTCGCTCCCCGAGACCGAGGTCATCGCTCTGGATGCAAGCAAGGGCATGTTAGACGTAGCTAGGACGCGACTCAACGTCCCGAATGCCGCTTGCCAGGGCCAGATTAATCTCCGTCTCGACGTCTTCGACATGCTCGCCACTTCCGCACCCCCGCCGTCCGTGGCGCCTTACACGGCCGATGCCGTAATCAGCACGCTAGTCGTCGAGCACGTCCCGCTCCCCGCGTTCTTCGCGCACGTGTCGCAGCTTCTCCGCCCCGGGGGCGTGCTTCTGCTGACCAACATGCACTCTGAGATGGGCGGGATCTCGCAGGCTGGGTTTGTGGATACGCTCACGGGCGAGAAGATCCGGCCGACGAGCTACGCGCATACTGTTGAGGACGTGGTGATCGAGGCGCGGAGATGTGGGCTGGAGGTCGAGGGTGGCGGAGAGGGGGAGGGCATTCTCGAGCGGGCTGTTGATGAGGATATGGTTGAGAAGCTGGGACTAAGAAGCAGCAAGTGGGTTGGTATTACCTGTTGGTTTGGGGGCATATTTCGGAAGGCTGGTGCGTGAGGAAATAGGGGTTGGGTCTTGGCGTATGATTAGGGGTAGCAAAGATTGTAGGCATGTAGGGAATTTCAGGACTGCCATTGCGGCTTACTTTTGCTATATCTCTGAACGGTGTGTACATTCATTTTCTTGTATATCAGTCGTCTTGGGAGTTGTTCTTACATCTTCTGCTCATAGTAATCAATTAACTCAGGGTGAAATCTAATACAATTTCAATTGAGCCGAGCAGCCGGAATAAGCCCTGCCTACTTCAGTCATTCCCTCGAGAGATTTTGGGATAACAGTGTATGCTAGATCCCATTTACGTACCTAGTCTCTGATTATCGAGGTTTAGGGGATCCCAATTAAGGCGACATTAATAAAGCGACATACAGGCGGTCAAATGGATAATTATTTTAAGGTACGGTCGGATCAGTCCACTAGTTTGTATTGTCTAAAAGGATTTCGCTATGTTGTATTTCACAAAAACCAACGCCCTTCTCGTAATATCCTTGATTTAGCATTTGATAATAAAGAACCCGGAAGAACCAGTAGTCGCCTTTTCTCTAGAGTGAAAATGATTCATAACCGGGTGTGTTTTCTGTTGCCTTATTTAATACTCTCTCCAAAACCAGTGACAGTCAGCGATATTTGGCATCTTTTATCCTGTGTCGTTCCCAGAGATGTTGAGTCGTAAGCCATTGCTAGGGAAATGCAGCCGGCAGCAAGCTCAACCGAAATATGTACACTATAGGGTGTTAGAAACAGTAACAAACAGCGGGCAACTATGTCGGCCTGGAATTTCGTGTATCTTTTGATGCTCACCTGTTCTAGATATCCATGTTGAAAAATATGACTTGTACAGTCATATCATCCCGTACGTGTCGGCAATAAGGGGCACGAAAGGCCAGCCGGGAAGCTATTAACTCGTGATGGTTTCCACCAAGCGCGTTACGTATCAAGTGGACCGCAGCGTTCTCATCTCTAGTCGTCAGCCTGCTCTCCATAAACTGGCAGACCATCCCTTCTGTGAGGTTTCCAAAGTGGAACGGTGCGTATTTTGGTATCGCCGTACTGTTTTTCGTTGTGGTCTTTTTAGAATCAACCCATTTTGCGACAATATAGACAGCTTGCTCGTTGGAAATCAAGTCCCACAGTCCGTCAGATGCCATGATTAGGAAGGATGGGGTGTCGGTGTCGATAGCAGCGGTGACCACAGCTGGGCGAGCAGTCAGGTACGGCGGTGTCAGATAGTTGTGAAACGAAGAGAATGGCATTCTACCACAGAACCTCCTAGCCACATCTACCTGAAGCCCCAGGGGCCATTTCCAGCGAGAATCGCCGAAAGATCGCGTGACCATCAGGCCAAACAGTCGTCCGTCTCGGACCATATTATTTTCGCCTGTATGTACCCGTTGAAGCATCTCAACCTCGCTCCTGTTGAAACCGGTTTGGTCTGTTGATAAAGGAATGGCTTTCCATTCCGAGTTTTGGTCCCTGCGCCCAAATACTGCTCTTGAATCCCCAGTGCACGCGACGTGTAGCATCCTCCGGTCGGGGTCGTATATAGATACCAAGGCACACGAGCCAGCGTGACAGGGGGCAAGTTTCTTGATTTTGTCTTGTAGTGGTTCTGCGCTATCGGTGGCTTGCACGGCTGACATTATGATAGAGTTGTCAAGCTCCTCAAACCCCCTCGAGATAGCGCTCTGAACATGGACATCGCTTATGGGATTGGTCCTCCCAGGGGGGTTAAGCCTGGCCAAGCTGTCCCGGACAAAAGACATAAGCTTTGTCTTCAGCAGTTCCGACGTTTCCCAGCCGTCATGGCCGTCGAAAATACCCCATGAAATCCACTCGCGGCCGTCATTCCAGGGCGAAGGAAATCTGCCGTGCATGAACCGATCCTCACATGGAGAATTGGCAGGTAGTCGAGTACCATCGTATCGAGTAATTCCAGGGACAGTGTTGACGTGAAAGGAGTACGCCTCCTCAGATAACATATGCGTTACATCTTCTTCGGAAGGGCCAGGCTCAAAGGCTAATGTGTTTGTTGGCAGACTGTCTAAAAGCGGCGCTTCCTCAAGGGGACTAGACTGAACAGTTGGGCGACCGGCTGGCTTCTGACTTCGCGTTACTGGCATGGCGCTGATAGTCGATTGAAAATTTAGGGTCGAAAGGCTCCGAGACGGTGCCGGTCAGAAGGTATGTAAGCCGTAGTGTAAGGGTATAACCATTGACGGTTTTATAGACACCCCACAGAATAGGTTGCTCGCTCATGGGATATATCAACAATACATGGAACGAACGTCTAGGCGAATGGTAAACCAATGTCAAACTCTCAAAGTGGAATTGTTTACTTCTTGTCTATACGTAAAACCTTTTGGCAGGGCTGTTCGATGATTATATTAAGGATTAATATAGATAATAATGCCCTAATTCACGTACAATTCTATTGGACGTCTACAGCCGCATCTAAAATGTCTTAAACAAAAGTTCCCTATGCCTGTTCAAATCTCTTTGATGAGTAACTCTCATTGGGATGAACTTTCTAGCGCGAAATGGAAGGGAGATATGAGACAGCGGTAAAAGAGTGTCGCCTTGCATACAATGTAACTACTCCACTGATCATGCTGTTGGTAGGGAAATTACCAGGATGCCTACAAATATGGTGCCCTCGTCTTGTGTAATGTACATTGTAGCTTTTAATTTAAATTCAACTATGTGATAATGCGACTCGGACTTACAGTCTATTCATGGCGATGTCACTGGCAATGTCCAAGCTTCAAATTACGTTAGGTATTTCAGACACTCAATTAGGTAGCCAGCAGGGGATATTACAGAGCCCTAGGTCTAACATGATAATTACTACCTCTAACAAGAGCCTCACAATAGGGACACTAACTAGTAGGCTGAGTGAGTCCGGTGACAAGCACAAGAATACGTCCCTGCTTACATTGGACATTGATGGAAATAGCCCCGCGCTCCCTAACTACCCACTTATTAACTTTGTTATCTATGGAAGATGAGCTTATTTCCCAACATTAATTCATTTCTCCACCCGATTTTCTATATATAATTCGATTCTCTCAAATGCCTATCAAATCACCCTAGTCTTGTAAGGGCAATATGTACATAATCCTCCAAATTTAGATAGTTGTTCTCTTCAGCGTAAGCGCTACCTTTCATCCTTGTCAGCCTTGTATTACCCCCCTGCCGCCAAGAATTGCTCTTGTCGGGCTATGCCATGCTTTGAAAGCGTAGCAGGGTTCTCCTTATATACCTAGTGTGCTACTAACAAGGTTTTTGGCCCAAGACCGGGTCTGTCCCGCCAGTCTGGGAAGGGACGGAAGAAGCTCATACATATCAACAGCGTGGCCGACCATTCAACATACTATTGCTTAGAACGCAACAGCGTCGTCATTTTAGGTTGACACAAATAGCTGTTGTTACTCAAGATTCGATGCACCAATTACGACGTGACAGATGGCATTGCTTACCATCCCTTCTGACTTGGAAACTCGCATCTCATTTCATCACGGCCCAAGGCATACTACCCAATGAAGGTAGGTTACACCAGGCCCTACGATTCTCCCTTCGTCCATCTCGCTTTGGTTCTTTCCATCGCAGGGACTAGATGCGTGACACCGACGCTCGAAATACGTTCGTGTAGTGCTACGCCCGTACCAGCGAGCGCACTTTCGTAGAAAAGGAAACATTCAGCATCCCTATTTTAACAAGGCGGCAATATTTCTAAGAACGTGCCTTGCGTTAGAGTAACTAGTCGTGCCAGATTGTATACGCGAGGTAGGGATTTCCCCCCGATTCGCGCGAAAGATGTCAGTTAACATACAACGCAAGGGTTATGAAGATTGGAGATAATAATAGTACGATTAAGAAAAACTCGCATGAAAGGTTAAGAATATGTGATCGGTATGCAATGGCATGGCCAAAGTCTGGGTAACAACCTAGCGAACTCTCTTAGCCTACCTAATAAAAGGGCCATAATAAGCGCCCACCATTGAAGTTACCCCGCATTTAGATCTTATAATTGAACAATGTTGTTTTATCTAGACTAAGGGCGACTTGAATCACCCGACATCCAATAATGTATTTGACACAGTATTGTAGAAGCTGGTGGTTCATTGAAAGACGGGCTGATCATGATTCTTGGGCCTAATCATTATTGTATGAGACGAAGTGTATGGCCAGGTCTACTGGAGGTGTGAAGTTCCCCGCTTACCTTGAATGCCTCGTTTACTGGAACACTCTCCCATGAATGATCGGCCTCGTGGCCCAATGGCAAGGCGTCTGACTACGATGGGTTCCAAGTAATGGATATCTAGTGATAATCAGGAGATTCTGGGTTCGACCCCCAGCGAGGTCAAATTTTTTCGACATTTGGTAATCACTACTTTTCTTTTTTGTGCTTCGGTTTCCCCACCCCCACCGAGCCTTGAGCTAGTCTTCATACGGTATGAGTAGTCGGATCCTTTATCCAAGTTACCTAGGTACCTTCCCACCTTTGATTTTTACTTGCTCATTTCTTCACTCGCTATGCGGCACATAGAATAAATGAGCAACAGAATGGCTGAATGGATGTAAATGCTCACTACATGCCAATCGCTACCTTGCCCTGCCGATTCAATCAAGCATGCCCTGTGCCCCAGCTAAAGCAGGAACAAGATGTACAGGTGAGATCGAACCAAGCCATGACGACGGCCTCCTGGTTCTGAATGTTGTGCGGCACGTTTGCGGCGCTATAGGCTTGGAACCAGTTGTTGGAGCCGTACACGTACTTCGTCCAATTGTTGACAGGCGTGTTGGGGGTCGTGCTCGTGGGCGTCTGGCTGTAGCCTAGCACCGCGTTCCATTCCTTGACCTCCTCCTTGAAGTTCTGGTAGTTCAGCGTCTCATCGATGGTGCCGTGGAAGATCTGCATCTTCGGTCGCCATCCTGTGTAGCCGGGATACGCCGCCTTGACCAGCGACGCCCACTCCTCCGGCGTGCGGGTGATTTTCCCCGTCGCACACGCATCGCCCCAGACTCCGTATCCGTTCGCCGCGAAACAGCCAAAGGGGACGCCTGAGAACGCGGAGCCGGCGGCGAAGACGTCCGGATACGCGCCGATCAGGGTGCTCGTCATCATCGCGCCCGACGAGACACCTGTGACGAAGACGCGCTTGGGGTCGCCTTTGTATTTGTTGAGTGTCCAGCGCACCATGCTGACGATCCCCAAGCTGTCGCCTCCCGCATCGTGCTTCAAGGTGGCATTCGACGACACGTCCCAGCACTTGTCGGCCGTGTTGGGGCTGTCCGGGTAGATGACGATGAAGCCGTACTTCGACGCCATGGTCGCGTACTGCGAGCCGGCATAGGCAGCCTGCGCATCGCCATGGCACCAGTGTGGATTGACTAGGATAGGTGGGCGTGCCGCGAGCTTGTCAGGCACGTAGATGTAGAACCCGGCATTTCTGGGGTTTGGACCGAAGTTTTCGGTGACTTTGGTTAGCGAGGCCGCGTTCGCCCCGCTCACGACGCCAGTCGCGAATAGCGCCCAAGATGTCCAGCGCATATTGAGTGAGTGTCACCTGCTCCTGTACAGCAAATCTGCAAGGTGAAGAAAGCTCGAGTACGCCCCAGACATTCGGTCAGAGGAGATATATATATATATATATATTCGTCAATGGACCGTCGCTCCGAGCGACTTCGCGATTCTCTTAGTTCAACATGGACCGTTGAAGACGGAGATTTGTGCTCCGTCGCTTCTCTAGGCTAAGGTCGACGTGGCGCCGTTCACCACAATTTGGTCTAGACAGCCGTTGAGGTCCCGAATGGGCGATTCACCGTCGCATCGTCAACTTCAAGGACCAATAATTCTCTTGGATATTCAGGTATGTAATCTACATTATGCTGTACACCACCCGTACGGAAAGTTGGGCACGATGTTGATCCGAACACCTGGATGCCCACAGTCACTGCTTGGAGCCGTTCTAAGAACTGGCCAATCGAAATCAAACCGTTTTCCTATTTTGGTATATGTCTAACTACCTACCTACTTAATCTAGCTCCCGAGCTAGACAGGTTTCAGTCATCGCAACGACGTGTCGCACTTGCTAGCAAGACCACTCCTCCAACCCCACATGTGAGACCTGCCGAAGAGTGAGACTCTCCCGAACCAGCAGGCAAACCACTCTATCATGTCTCATGCTGTCTCTTGGGAGGAAGCAAAGATTGAAAATTATTGTTGAATTAATATGGACTCGCGACGCGAATACTGACAATATGCCACCTTCTTATCAACAATTTGGCTTGAAAAGACCTCTATTATCTGTCTTCATGCATCGCCGCGACTTGGCAACTGCTTCCCAACTCGATCCCTCGATCAGCCGCATGTCCCCATCTTTCCCGCCCGATCATAACAGCCGCCGCACAATGTCCTTCCCGAGCCGTCTTCCGCCTCCTTGAGGTTGACCTCCAGGGCTACGTGCCCTGTTTTCATGCAGGCACAATAGCATCTGCCATAAGCATGTGTCTTATTTTGCCAGCCGGGGTCGCTGGATAATTTGAGAGGACGGCTGGGGGTGACGTCGCTACGGGGCGAGGCTGAGTTGTTCGATGTGGTAGTGGAAGACATGATTCGGAGGAAGACGACTAGAGGAGGGCCACTTGTTGCTCGTATGATGAGGTTCGTGGGATGCTGGTGTTTATTTGTACTCGTAGTTCCTGGTTCTGGGTGTCTCAGGCAGGTTGGGGATGATGGTATTCTCGTGGTGGTAGGATATAGTGAGGGTTGGCTAAGAGAGGGAAGAAGGCACACTCGATTGAGAGCGAAATAGTGAACGAGCTCGAGAGTTTTGCCAATGATTGTTAGCGAGAACAAGGTGAATGAGAACAAGGTGCTTGTATCATTGGTAGGCATGGATCATGTGCACATACAATATAGTGATGGTCGGTTCTTAGTCGGAAAGGGTCTACTGTGATGTAAAAGATGTGCCTACCTAGGTACCTACCTACCATGGTGTTTATATACGAAATCCAGCCGATGCAGTGGAATCAGAAGATATTGCTAGCGACTCGTCTTCTAGGAAGTGGTTGTATCAGATTGGAATAGTAGTTTCTATCTAATACAATAAGGAGCTAACAACAGTATAATTCGAGAACCCTTGGAATGAATAACAATATAAAGAGATACATCATTGTGTTTATTATATTTATAGTGACTTGTATTATTGGCTAGTATTATCTTTTGTGTTCTTCCCTCTGCACATTTTGGGATTGAAGTTGCTTCTAGACCTCGCATGTTCATCAATTAACAGAGAAGGGGTACACTTCAACATAATAATGCTTATGTCTGCAGCTTGATATAACTACAGCTTCCCCAGATTAAGTGGCATACACCTAGTGGTGAGATACTTACTTAATTATATACCCGCACAGTGGCTGTCGAGAAATGTGAATGGGGCTGCGAGGCAATAGCATCACAGGTATATACAACGCCTGAAAGTATATGTTTCCTGAGGGTAGGCTTTGTGAAACTAGGCATTGTTTAGGACAGAGATGGTAGCAAGTATGTGGTCTTCTGGAAATCGACAATGCACTGACAGGTTTCTGCAACGGGATGAACCCCACAGATCCCCTATTCCCCTGGGCCCTTGGACCCACTGCAGATAGTTACAATGGCTTCCAGCTAACAATGGTGACTGCCCTATTGAGATGTAAATAACAAGTATCAAGTAAAGAACATTCAACGTTTCTTTGTTCAGGGCTTACTAAGATACAATGCCCTGAAGTCTGCCTGATGCTAACTGCAACACTTGATTCAACCTCACCTGGCTGTGAGCTCCATGCATTACCTACTGCTAGGTACCTCTACCTAAGTACAAAGTACAGTACTTAAGCAGCTAAGCTAGCGCGTCCATGTCCTCCCGTAGAAGAAGTTAGGCAACGCTCCAGCTAGAAAGAGTGGGGGAAATGTTGCCAGTGTACAAAGTACTTTGTATCTTGTAGACCTGGCGCTTATACACCTCTCTATCGAGGATCATGAAGGTGGCTGAGTAATTACACCTGGGTACTACACATGGACCATCATGGGCATATCGTAGGCTGAATTGCTAAGGTATATGCAAGAAGCATTGTACCTCCCTATTAAACACTTGAAGTTATGAGCATTCATCTTGGAATTTGTCCTGCTAGGTAGCCTCACAGATTCATGTATGCCTACATATAGGTAATACACATGCAGTCCTTCACTATCAAATGATTTTGCCGAGAACTTTCATAGACCAGACTGCACCTAGGTACCTAACCTCCAAGCTAAAACGTCTTACGCGACAGTGACATGACGCGTATTGTGGAAGGTACACCCCGCCAAACCACACCCCTGGAACATGAGCGCTATCGGTCAAGCTAGCAACCAATGAGACAAGTGGGGCAGCGGAATCTACAGCACCCTGCATGGGTTTTGCACATGGCAGCTGTGGGGTGTGGTCGCATTGGACCTTTCAGCTCTGGTACCGGTACTTGCTTAAGCTCCCCGGGTACATGATAGCTTATGCTGATTGAGTTGCGTCAAGACTCGGATGGAAACATTGAAAACTACGCGTCGTGCCAGACACTTTCACAGCTGCCCTCGCAACCTGATGGAAAACCACCATCACTGTGACTTGCCCCATTCCTTTCTTAATACATCCTTTCTTCAATACAGCATTTTGCACATTTGCTAACTTTACGCCAATATGGCTATTGTCACTCTGGATCCAGAGGCTATTGAGCAGCTGAGCGGTGAACGCAAGGCCCTACTTGATGCCATCGACAGCCTACGAAAACACGGTATTGGCCGTTTTGTAGACCTCCCCCAGATCATTGTTGTCGGCGATCAATCCTCAGGCAAGTCGTCGGTGCTGGAGGCCATCTCGCGTGTCCGCTTTCCAGTCAAGGATGGGGTATGCACACGCTTTGCTACTGAACTAGTCCTTCGAACCGACCCGCAGACCAGAATCCACGTCCAAGTGCAGCCTGCTTTTGCCTCAGGAAATGTAGCATATACATTCAATGAGACGAGCTTTGACAAGGACGACCTACCGCGCATCACCGAGGAGGCCAAGACCCGCCTCCTCGGCGGAAGCGCCAGCTTTTCTGAAGATGTATTGCGCATCGAGATATGCTCCCCCGACGTCCCTCATCTCACCCTTGTCGATCTTCCCGGATTTTACCATTCCGAGGACGAGGATCAACCCGCTGATGGCCGTGACATTGTGGACCGCCTTGTTGAGACCTATATGGCACGGAAGAACAGCATCATCTTAGCCATCGTGTCAGCACGCAACCAGGTTGTCATGCAAAAGGTACTCTCAAAGGTGAAAGCACATGACAAGAATCAAGAGC